CTTCTTCTTCTTCCCCAATGCCCCCTCCCCCCTCCTTCAAAAAAAAAGAAAAATAATCCCTGAAGATTCCTTAAAAGTGGCCATTTCTACTATCAATACTTATATTCTTCTGTTTTTATCTAATTTTGACCTTTTCTGGTCGTGAAATCCCCAACCTAGCTTCTTCTTTCTCATCCCCCCAATATTTGACTTCGGCGATGTCTTGATAGCCGCTGCTAAAAACAATGCGGCGATGATCTACCTAATTAAAAATTCCTAAATAATTATTCATCGACGAAATGTGAGACAGAGAAGGGAGAAGGGATATGAGACGGACAAGGAAGAAGAAATCTGTGCATTACTAAGCACAAGGCAACCCTATATGTATTTTGCCTATAAAAAATAACGTGGAATATGATGTGTCATCCACGTCAAGCAAGTGAGATACACACACGATCAGAGGGGTTTAAAATATAGACTTTGATCAAGTTAAAGTTTTTGGATGAAAACAAGTGAAGTAGGAGGACCGGGATGTCAAATCGGAACAAGTACAATGGTCTACTATGCTATTCTGCCAAGAAAGAAATCAAACTTTTTTCACTTCACATAATCTTTTTTTAAACTTATACATAGCTTAGTATGTGTAACAAAAAATAGACCCACACAAATGTGGGACTTAAAGCAGTTGATTTACTTACTTTACGGGAAGGGCAACCTCTAAGTATGATTTGATTTGTTGTGTATGTACTGTGTTCTAACTCAAGTTATGCACAGAGTGTCGTTGCCGGCTTGCCGCGGTCAGCCTTTTGCATTAATTGTGTTTTACTTGTGAGGTTTTATTTTGTCAAATGCATACACGAAAACAGAAAACATATAGTAGTACACAATAAGATTGGAGAACTGTTTCCCTTATACTACTACTACACTTCTTGCCATTTTCCCTTTCACTTTCTAAACTGTGTTAAAGGCTTAACTAGAGCTACTTTTCTTAAATTCATTGAATCTAACACAATGTTTCTTTTTCATATTTACCATTATATCCAGATACATATGCTTTAGAGCAACTCCAATCTTGTCCCCAAAATGGGAATTTTCCTATTTTTTGGGACAAAAATGGAGAAATTTCACTCCAATCCTCCTCCTTTTTTGTCCCCAAAATGGGGAGTGAATAGTGTCTCCCCAAATTTGGAGACACACTATTCATCTCTCCATTTACTATTCTTTATTAAAATATTATTATTTTTATTATTTAATTTATCTTTTTATATATACTTAGCTATGTTTATATAATATATTTACCTAATTAATTTTTCATCTTAACTTTGACGTATAATTTTAAAAAATTAATTATCGTGCATCTATTTTTTAATGTAAAATTGGTAGTTAATTTTATTATGAGTTATAATTGTATGAAAAAGATATAACCATCACAAAAAATGAAAGGTGCAAATATAAAACATGATATCACTTTTTTTTGAATTATTAGTTAATCTATAATAATTTCTTGCAAATTATATTATTTAAAATTTATGAAATATTTTTAATGAAAATTACAAATTAATAAAAATAAAAGATGGAATTTGTTTAATAGAAATTAAAAAATAAAATTGAAATGAAAGATAATAATATAATATAGAAGAGAGAGAAGAATATAAAAAAGAATATTCTCTTTTTTTGGGGGGGGGGGGGGAGGAAATGGGGGAATGGTTGCAGTAAGTTGTCCTCAAAATGGGGAAATTCCCATTTTTGGAGACCCAAATGGGGATAAAGGTTGGAGATGCCCTTAGTACTAAATATCTCTGTAGTTTTTCTATTTTCTCATCAAGTAGATAACCTCATATATATATATATAATGGATAAAAAATATTTAATAGGACCATCATTTTATAAATCAAAATTAAAATAAAATAAAATAAACGATAACATTAGTAATTTTACTAATGTATGGGGTTGAGTGTTGGCCATCATGATGTATGAATCTGAGTGTTGGCCCGTTAACAACTCACATATCCAGAAGATGAAAGTAGCAGAAATGAGGATGTTGCGGTGGATGTGCAGGCACACTAGGATAGATAAGATTAGGAATGATGATATTCGGGAGAAGGTGCACGTGTCTCCCATTGATGACAAGATGCGGGAAGCGAGACTTAGATGGTTTGGACATGTTCAGAGTAGAAGCCCAGATGCTCCGGTACGGAGATGTGCACGGCTGGTTGTGAAGGGCACGAGAAGAGGTAGAGGGCGACCTAAGAAGTATTGGGGAGAGGTGATCAGGTAGGATATGGCGAGACTCCAGATTTTCGAGGACATGACACTTGATAGGAAGATGTGGAGGTCGAGTATTAGGGTTGTAGGTTAGAAGGTAGTTGAGTCGTGCCTTACTTCGTACCATTGTGGGACTAGCCATGTAGGATTTTTGTCTAAGATAGCTAGTGGCAATGTTATGTTTTACTATTTCGATTTTCAGTGCAGGTCCTATTTACTAGCTATTGTTTTTGCTTTGCATCTTTCGTCTGGATTTCATGGTGTTCCTATTTTTCTTATGATTGTTGTGGTGATACTAATATTGTCTCCCTATGCTTTGCATCTTTCTTCTAGATTTCATGGTGTTCCTATTTTTCCTATGATTGCTGTGGTGATACTAATATTGTCTCCTTTTGCCCTTTTGTCTTTTTATTTTCTTGAGCTGAGGGTCTTTTGGAAATAACATATCTACTCTTTCGGGGTAGGGGTAAGGTCTGCATACACACTACCCTCCTCATACCCCATTAGTGGGATTTCACTGAGTTGTTGTTGTCGTCGTCGTCGTTGTTGTTGTTGTTGTTGTATTAGTAATTTTACTAATAAAAGTAAGCATAAAACCAAAGTAAAGAGAGAGCAGAGATGATTTGTAGTTTGTAGAGAGCTTTATTAAAGAAATTTTTATATATTTTAAATTATAAAGAAATAACTTTTAGTTAAAAATTACTTTTAAGATGTAGTTGTTTATTTCTACACAAATATTTAATTTTAAGAGTTATTTTATTAGGAAACTTTTTAGATTGAAAAAGAATCAAATAGACCACACATGGTGGTCTCCGTTTAGTTTTGGCAAACAAAATAGTTAGAACTTTGAACCCGTGAACAACATGTCACTTCGAACACCTTGAACTGTTGTACTGTCTCACTTAATTGTATTAAGAGTGTTCAAAATATAATATATAATCATATAAAATAGTATTTAACTTATATACGAAATATAATTTTTCGACGAAGGGTGCGCGCTTGACCACCCTTGACATAGGTGGCTACGCCAATGCTGGTGTTATTCTACAACCGAAACATATGAGGTTCCTAATTTCAGTTTTAATACTGTAATAATATGGAAAACTTTGGGGTCCCCGGGACTATTTTATCTCACGTGGGAGGTAGGATAAAATAATCTCAAGTTTGATGGGATAAGAGGGGATAAGATAAAATATTCAGTATTAAGTTTGAGATTAAATTTATACCATGTTTAGTTGATAGTACTCTCTCCGTTCCAATTTATGTGAACTTGTTTGATTGGGCACGGAGTTTAAGAAAAAATGAAGATTTATGGAATTTGTGGTCCTAAACAAGTCAAAAAGGGACTAGAGTATTTTTGTGGTTATAAAAGTTTTTCAGTAGAATTGTAAGTTTAAGCTAAATTATTACCAAATTTAGAAAGCGGTTATTCTTTTTGGAACAGACCAAAATGGAAATAAGTTCACATAAACTAGAACAGAAGGAGTATAAATTTATCCCAAAATAAATTTATTTTAAGATAAATTTATACCATTAACCAAACATGATATAAATTTAATCTCTTACCTCTTCCCACTTTATCCCGAGTACCAACTACCCGTTAATGTATGTCACCACAGTGTTTTACACGGAAATAAGAAAATACCGAATGTAGTGGATGAATCATTCGATTGATGTGGATCAGCATTCTTCTTTTGTGCAATTATGAAAACCCTTTATTTATTCCAACTAAAAAAAGTCTCTTTATTTGTATTAGACGTCTAGATCCTATGTTGAGCGCAGTGGTACAGATAAATATCTAATAAAAGTTTTTTTATAAAATAATGTTAGTGTCTATAGCATTATTATAAATGAGAACTAAGCGTTGCTAACTTAAATTTAATTCTTAAAACTCTTAAACAATTGAAGGTTAGACGTTTGGGGCTAGCAAGCTACAATAATTTTTTTGTCTATCCTTTTTTTTCATAGTTGTGATTTATTTATTTTATTTATTTTATTTATTTTCCTATATTTTCCTTTTCTCCTATTTGTTTTCCTGCTCNATATATATATATCCCTTTTTTGTCCTTCCTATTCCCTCTTTTTCTTCTCCTTTTCCTCTTTCCTTTATCCATGCTTTTCCCTTCTTTAACCCGTCCATTCCAAAATCTCTTTTCGAATATCATAGTGTATATTTCCATCATTACCTTTTTCTTTCTTTTTTTTCCTTGTCCTTATGTTTCCCTTTATATTTTCTTTATCCTATTTCTTTTCCTTTATAATCCTTCCTAGCCAAATCTCAGTACCTGTATATATATATATATATATATATTCCTTTGTCTCTGCTTATACAAATTCCAACTAACATATCACAAGGCACGTAGCCAAGGGAACTGGGAAGAGCAGTAAAATGATAAAGTTCTAGGTAACTCTTGTTCTTCCTTTCCCCTTCAGTAAAAAAAAAATGGTAATTAAAAGATTTTACTTCTTTCTGTTTAAGTAATTGATTGACCATATTTAATCTAATTTCTTATTTTTCTATTTACTGCATTGTCATGAATATTTTGGTCACTTCGCATATTGAATAACAGAAACTTTTTATTTAAAATTAATTAATAATTGAAGCAACAAATTTGAAACAGACAAAAATATACAATTTACAAAAACTAATGAGCGGTGGCAGCTCTTATTATTTTAAAATCCTGATGAGTCCTAAAAATTATTCTAATTCTTGAAAATTGGTAGATTAGTCGAATTCGTTATGCTGAATAGCGCGTATGTTCGGCTTACAGTTCTATTTGCTGAGGAAAAAAAACTTATAGTTCTCTATTTCAGTAATTTGTCGACGTGGGTATTATTAATTGATAATCAAATAAGAAGTACATAAAATATCATAAAATTTGTTTTTTTTGGTGTAATTTTAATTAATGAAAATCTTTATTTTGTATAACCATATGATATCTAAAAGGCCTCTGGCAACTAGTCCAGATTTGCATCCCATAGGGCCAATAAAAAGAAAACATTCCTTATCAGAAATTTCTCCATTTCTAGGGCTTGAGTTCGAACTTGAGACTGCTAGTTAAGCACGAATGAATTCCATTTATCCACCACAATTAGTAGCATGATTAAAGAGCATCAACCATATATAAAACATATACATACAAATAAAAACAATCCATTCAAATGAAGTGACACGGATAGTAAACATTCACACATATGTGTATATATATGATGCAAATTAACTAGAACTAAAATTTGAAGTCCAGCTAATTAAACATATCGAAAACATTAAATTGCATATCAGAAAGAAATTCTTCGCAATAAATAAATAAATTGTAAAACCTTTTTTCCTTAAAACACCCCTTAATTTATTTTTTTAATCAGAAATGAAGAATTATTATTGCATGAGATATAATTATTGAGCGGGAAAGGTCGTTGAGAATTAGTTAAGCAGTTTCTTTAGTTACGTTAAGATCCGGGAAGTTTGCTTAGTTTTTACTTGCCAGTCTAAATTTGTTAGATCCAGTTAATTACTGACCGTGCATGTTTCTCCATCTCTATAAATACCTTCTCTGTAAAATTGTTTGATGCTAATTATACGCGTAATTTCATCATCATTTTTAATTCTTCACTTTTAGTATCCGAGTATTTTTTAGTGCTTCGTTTTCTTTTTCATTGCTTTACTTCTTGAGTTGAGTGATTATGACATCCCTATAAAGTATAAACCCATGCAACGTCTTCTTTTGAATGATTGATTATTGGTCAGGGTTTCCCATTTAAATATATTTATTCTTGGTGTCTTTAAATATTTGGATTTATATTCAAAGCAGAGTCCTCTATATATTGAAGAAGGTTAATTCAGACGTTCTGTAGTACTGAGAGCTAGCGCTTAGTAGAAGACAACATGGGTGTTGTTCACGCTCTACAATTTACTTTCGGGATTTTCGGTACGTTGGTTTGATCACTTTCATTTCCATATTTTATTTCTTTTTATTTTTTCTTCAGTTCTGGTTAAGTTTTCGTTATCATTATATTGCTTCTCTTTTTTCTGCTAACAGGAAATGCTGCTACTCTGTTTCTCTTCTTGGTACCAACGTGAGCAAGAACTCTTTTCAGACCTTTTTTTTACTCTTAAATATTGCTCCTTCTTGTAAAGAGTCATGTCCATATTGAGATTTAACTTATATATACACACTGGCAAAATAAATAAAGTTTTTACTAGTATTAGTTTACACATGTATTTTTAACATGATACTATGGAGTAAGAAAACTATTGTATACATTATCAGCTTACAGAGGCAAAACTCTTGTAATTACATTCTCTTCTTATTGTTATAAGTTTCGGGAAAGACGAGAATAAGGTGTTTTCTTTTATGATCGTCCGTGTATCGATTTTTCTATTTCAATTAAAGGGGATATATCTGAAACTCCACGTGGTCAAGATTTTATTTTGATATATTTTTGTCTGATTTTATTTAGGTTTACATTCAAGAGGATAATCAAGAACAGATCGACGGAACAGTTCTCTGGCTTACCTTACGTCATGACCTTTCTCAACTGCTTGCTTTCTGCATGGTAACTATCTTTACTAAAAAAAACCTCTTTCCGTTGAGTTCTTGAAGTGCCTCTTTACCAAACTTAATTAATTGTAATGATAATTTATCGGTTTCCTAATTCCAATTAAATGTTTGGCGCGTTTTGGGATGAAATTGTCTGTCCACACAGAGTAGATTTACAATTTAAATTTGATGGATTTTTTCTATAAAAAAAAGTTGATGGATTCCATATGATCTTTAAGAATTAAACACAATACTTTTGAAATTATAGATTAAGATTTTAATATTTGTTGAAATTTAGTAGACAGGAATAATTGTTTTCACACATATATATATCATGTGTCGAAAATTTTGAGTTCAGTTAAAACCCTAGTATATAAGCTGCTTCCACCCAACTTTATATACCATCCAAAATGTTGAACTTGCATAGTAGCCGATAATCCATAACAACTACAATTGCCTTTTCCAAAAGACTGGTATCCAAAATGAATATGATATTGAAAGGAAAACATTGTCTAATTAAATTTTCAAAAGAATTGTGCAGTTCCTTCAAACCCTTGGATTAGGTAATCTATTTACAGAAATAAATTTGTCTAATCTTCAAAAACAAGTAGGTACAAAGATGGATTAGGATTTTTCATCATAATGATATTGTCTCAATTGTTTGGTCATAGACTGATAAATCTATTACTAATTGAATAGGTACGGTCTGCCTTTTATAACATCTGACAATATTCTAGTAACAACAATAAATGGGGCTGGAGCTACAATTGAGCTCATTTACGTGCTGATCTTTCTCGCACTTGCACCCAATAAACAGAAGGGAAAAATCTTAGCAACCCTCCTTTTAGTCCTCCTCGTTTTTGCTGGCGCAGCGCTTGTTTCCTTGCTTGTTTTTCATGGGAAAAATAGGAAGCTGTTTTGTGGTACAGCTGCCACCATCTTCTCCATCGTTATGTATGCATCTCCTATGTCTATCATAGTAAGCTCTTTAAACTTCTAATTATCACTTTCAATTTTTATGTTTTTACGAGGTAGATTCAAGATTTGAATTTAATGGATTCAGTATTTATGTTCTGATCACCATTGGATTCATCGCATAATTATTTAATGAAATTTTAGTGATTTTTGTGAAGAATATATTGGATCTACCCCCTGGTTTTATACTCAATTCAAGTTTATTGGTGCAGAGACTAGTAATCAGGACAAAGAGTGTGGAGTACATGCCATTTTTCCTGTCATTTGCAGTTGTCATATCTTGCACCTGTTGGTTTACCTATGCCATGCTTGGGAGGGATCCATTTATTGGTGTAAGCATCTCTCCTATTGAAATATGAAATAAATCATATATACAAAAGTGAATTATGGGGTAATGTTTTGTACTGCATGCAGATTTCAACAGGGGTTGGCTTGTTTTTAGGAATAGTGCAGCTGATCTTGTATGCCATTTACTGTGACAAGAAAGTTTTAACCAACAAATCTACTGATGTGCCCGTGGAGATGGGCAACGGCCATATTAATATTAAATTTCACTATGAGGAGAAGCAATATAACCAGTCGAACCATGAGCAAGTCTAGAACTAACAGGATCGGATCAAGTTTCGTGGGCGCTCAAAAGTACTCTTGGATTGTTGCTCAGAATCTGTATATTTTAGATTCTAAAAGCACTCTGATAAGTGCTAATATATAATGCTGTAGAAGCATAAAGGCATGTCAGGAATGGTGCAGGAGATATCTGCATTCCCTAATGAAATGTATTTATGATTAATTATAAGCAATAGCAGATAAAATTAATAACGTTGTACAATATTCTATCAGACCTCATCCAGCATTTAATTGTCACTAATTCCACTCCTCCTGCTCACATAAATTATGTTCAAAACATTCAATAGCTTTTAAACTAACTAGAACCTTAACTAAAGCTTAAAATCAACGTGTCAAACTGAATCTAATTAATCTCAAGAATACCTACGAGTACATGGAGCTGACTCTAAAATTTAAGATGTGATAGAAGGCTCCACAGAAGTATATATAGACGTCCCAATTGCACAGAATCTGAATCATGTAAAGTAATGTAGTTGTTATATTAACAGCCTGTGAAATGAGTAGAGTTATACTAGGCTTTTCTTAATTTTGGCTTAGCTCGGCATTTGCATCCTTTCAGTAAAAATTACTTCCCTTCTCGTCAGTAAACCTGAATTGTCTGATCGAATGCTACCTCTAAAGCCATAAAAATGGACTTAGCACGCGAGACAAGGTGAGGCTGAATTGTCTTTTTCTTTAGCAGGCTGGTCTTCGTTTTCAAAAAACGAGACATAACTTAAAAACGCCCACCGTGGGGCTCGAACCCACGACCACAAGGTTAAGAGCCTTGCGCTCTACCAACTGAGCTAGACGGGCAGCTTATCCTCATATTCGAACTTCTTCATAATGATACGTATTTTAGGTTAATCTATTGGAACATTACACAGGAAGACTGATTATAATCAAATAAAACTAGCCGATAAATCAGCAAACAGATACAAATAGGTGCATGCTAGAACCCGTTTGGACATAAGAAATTTTTTCTTTTTTTTCAACTTTTTTCCGAATTCAGCGTTTATTCATAAATTTTCAATTTTTCACTTGAAAATACATTTTGAAAATTTTCGAAAATTTGAAAAACTCCAAAAAACTGTTTTTTAAAATTTTCACTCAAATCACTTACAAAACTTCAAAATTAACCCAAAACTATATTCATGTCCAAACACAACTCTAATTCAAATACCATTTTCACCTGAAAAAAATTTCCGCCCTTTTTTGGAATTTTACAATACTTATGTCCAAATGCCCACTTAATTTCTACATGCCTGATGTATTTAATTATCAGGAGAATAATATGCTACTATAATATTTTCAAAATATGCAATACATAATTTCTCATGATACTTTTATAATACAGTAGGCAAAACATGTTATTCTCGCTTCTAAGGAATTGGTTGGGTCTTTTGCATCTCTCAGCAGCTCTCCACTCCAGTTTTTACTCGGGTAGTATTAAGTAGAAATCAGTTACTATATCACTATAAGACATGTTTTCTAAGTTGTACGCACAGAAATTCGCATAAACACATGGTCTAATAAAAAAAAAACTACCAGTGTTACTACTACAATTCTAAAGTCTAAACTTCTACAAATGGCGTTCCTTTCACCATAGATTCTCTAACGAAATTTCAAGAATGGCTTGAATACTTTTCATTTAGTCACTATCCCCAATGATTTCATCATACGTGGCTAGTATTAGAATCTTCAGTTTTCAGTATTACACGTATTTTTTGACCAAAAAAAACATTAAAATTTCAAAATAAGAAAAGAAAAAAAAATACATCCTTGCATTGGCATACTATTCGATCTTGTATTGCCACCTTACCCCTTTCAGTTAAAGCTTCCACCAGTTGTGTTCTTCCCCACTCTTCAGTTGCTATACCCTGATAATTTCTCCACCCCCCAGTTCTAAATTACCAGCAAAAACGATAGTGTAATAAATTGCGATTATGTCTCCATATATTTAACCAAGTACATTTCTTTCTATCGTTACACTTACATAACTCAATTCAAACTCTTACCCAATATCTTAGAAAACATATTGCGATTTCCTAATTAATGTCACTATCAGAGAATTAACTATGTTTCTTGAGGGGGTTTTCACACAGCATAGTCTATATTAAGGAATTAAAGGGAAGAAAATTGTAGGTCCTGCATGTTTATTGAAAATTATGACACCAAATCAATCCCTAATTAAACCTACAATACTTTATTGAAATTTTATTGGGTGATCAAAATTATTTGTAAGCCAACATTATGACCAAACAAAAAAGGGAAAAGAACAAAGAAATTCAAAATGTTAAGGAGTATGTGGTAATTTAGCAAAACTTTGAACAGATAGCGATACCTGCAATTTCCAAGAAGCTTCCCGCGCCATCAACTGAAATGATTTCATTCACAATTGTCAGCCAAATATCGTTATCACAAACTCCCCATATCTTACGTAATATATCTAGCTATAAAAACACAGATATCTCAACATATATCAATCATATATATATACTGCTGCGTATTAAAATTTATCCTAGTATGAATGTAATATTATATTGGAGATCTTCTAAACCTCAGACCAGAAATGAGAGCTCCGCCAAGACTTGCCGCTGTACATACAAATTCGAAAGTTTTATCGGAAACATCTGATAAAATTGAAACGATACAGAGAATATTAGAATGTTCAGTACAAAAGCGCGGAGGCAGCAGCATAGATGTCCTGGCTGGAAATGTGACAATAATTGGTCAGGAGAAGCAGCAGAAGCTAACGAAGTTGTTGTTGAATGTACATATACAAAACAGTTTGGGGCCGGTGCATGTCGTTATGTTGCCGGAGAACACTGTCGGAGACTTGATAAAGGCTGCGATAGATATTTACGTGAAGGAGAAGCGGCGGCCATTGTTGCCCAGTCGTGATTCTCGGAGTTACAAGCTTCATTACTCCCAGTTTAGTTTGGATAGTAAGTTCTCTGTTTTGTTCCCAACTTTGAGCTAGGAATATTAATGTTTATGTCATTTCCTTTTGTTGAGTGCAATTTAGTCCCTTTAAATCACATTTTTGCATATAATGCCGTATTAAAATTCCTTTTTTAAAAGTTTGCGACTTCAAATTATTTATTACAAGAAAAAAAAGAAAAAAAGAGAAAGATCTGAAGTGTATGGTTGTGGGCTTGTGGCTTCCTATTTTCCATGTTCTTCGTATGTATGAAGACAATTCTCAAAACTGTGAAAATTGCACCGCAAAAAGTTTTCAGTACTCCTTTTGTAATAATTCGTTTCACACATTTTATTTTGCTTGTCAATTTGATAAAAAATTATAATTTTTTGAAGAGTCAATTAGCAAAAGATTATATTTGAAATATCAATAAAAGTTAATTTTGTTTGACAACATTTTGGAACAGACCAAGGAGTATATTTGTCCTTTGTTTAAGTAATAATTTTAAGGCATTTTTGTTTTTTCTGTCTCGTGCCATCTGAGTTCACTTTCCTTTTATAATTTTCTTCTTTTGGAAAAGTTTTATATATTTGCTTTGGCTAGTTGGCAATTTTCAATTTATTTAGGAGATAGGTAATAAATTCAACTTATGAAGTAAACAAGCACTAATACCGGTCATTAACCTGCATAATTTCCCGAAAAAATGATACTGTATAACCGCTCTTTAAATAATAGCCGAAAAATGTATATTTTTTGTATATACATACATTATGTATTATGTTATATATAAAAATTATACAAATTTTATATATTTTTTCAACTACCGAATATAAATAGTTTCTGCCGCGGGCTAAAAGTGAAAAAAATCCTAATTTCCCATCAAGAAGCCTAATGATGCCCGATAATTAATTAATTTAGTAAATAGGATAGTGTACTAATGTTGTTCTCAAAACTGAAATATACGGAGTACGCTGCAATGTCTCGTGTTCAGTAACTTCTTCCAATTAAATTGAAAGATGGAAGTAACTTTTATATGAAATTAATATTCTATTTGACTAACTATTTTCATGGTGGGAATATATATATACAGGCTTAAAGCCAGAGGAGAAGTTGCTAAATTTGGAATCTCGAAGTTTCTTTCTATGTCCAAAACCAAATTGTAGTATTAATTCATCTTGCAAGGACAAAGCAAAGGCCGCGGCGAAACTTTCACTTCTATTGGCAAAGTTCATGGATCTCTTAGTATAAATTGTGATTATTCTAAGCAGTTTTTTTCGCCAAAATGCCACCTTATCCCCTTGCTTTAAGCATTTCGAGCAAACCATGATCACAACAAATAATATTCTTCACTCGACAAAAGACTCACACCCAAATTCCATAGTGTTTGATTCGCTATATTGATCATGATTTTCCTACCCCTAAAGGGATAGGTACTTTTCTTTTGGGCCAGTTGTGGGTGAAGTTCACGTAAATTTGACACTTGATAGTATTTTTTTTCTCTTTTTATTGTAATTGTTTCTGCTTTTAATTTTGCATGTGTAATTAACAAATTGTATAAAGTAGCACGAAATGGCTACGGATGCACGATGAGTTTAATTGGTTACTTCATTAGTTTAATTTGGTGCAAAATGCATTCACTTTGGAGATGTACACACTTTACATTTAAATTTAAGCTCTACTTTGTTTGTCAATGAAATATCATCTTGGATAAGTTTTGTTGAGATTTTGCTTCAAAAGCTTACACTTCTTAAATGAATTCTCTTTATCCTCTCTGAATAAATTTTTGGAATTTTTGTCTAACTCCAAATCTCTAAATCCATATTTACTTTGACTTCTTAATTGCGAACAATGAAAACTAAAATAACAGAAAGTACTTTAAAAGGTGAAAATGAACTAAAACCATTCATTCTTCTTTTGGAGTTAGCAGCTTAATTTGTGGAGCAAATTAAGAGCGAATGCTATCAAATAATGAAACATTAATTAGGGACATAAACAATTACGAACACTTACCAAATGGGCATTTGGTATTCAGATAACTCAATTTCTTTTTTTTGGGCTAATGAAAGAAGCTTTTATTGAATAACACAAACGGAAGTTATTACATGATGGTAACTAGTGGGTATACAAAAGTCAAAGCACTGTTTCCCAATTCCCATGGCTGGATCTCTGCCTTTTCCATAGCAAGCCAGCTTATCTGCTGCAGCATTTGCTTCCGTAAAGATGTGGCACACTTGTGGGCTGCCCAGCTTCTCCATTAGTTGTCTGTGAGTCAGTTTCCACAATAAGTGGAACTAAGCTCTTACTGAGTGC